CCCCAGCTAGGATCACCATCACAGAGCCTCAATGGGAGGAGTCCTCACCATACAGATGAGGAGACTGAGGACTAGACAGGAAGGGATTTGGCCAAGATCATTCAACTTCTCCTCCCTTCTGGCTTCTCCTTTTACTCTGGAACTTCTCTGGGTAGTTCTAAGGGAGATGGAGGACCAAAGGGCCCAAGGTTGGGGGAAAGTCACTTGCCCAAGGACCCAGAGCAAGGAGTGGGGAGATGGAGGTCTAGCTCCCAGCTCTGAGATCGTCCCCAGTCATCTATCCCTGACTCAGCCTTACCAGGCTGTACTGTGGTAAGGGGAGCGTCGCTGGCTGGGAGAGTCCTGGATCAAAGACAAGAGCTCTGCATTTTTCTCCCAGATTAGAAGATTTGCCCTGGGTCTTTCTGGCCTCAATCCCCCCATCTATGAAAAGAGAAGGTCAGAATAGATCAAGCATGACAAACTCATGGCGCACATACAATACTCTCTTATCCTCTGCCCATGGCAGACATGACTAATCTATCACAGCACTTTTTTCCATGAAGCCAACACTGAGCCTCAGAATGCTTCTCAACGCAGCACTCTAGGCCAGGGGGATGAAAGCCCAGGGCCTTCCCTAGACTAGAAAATATCTGAGCCCCCAAGAGGGAGGAGAAGGGAGAAGAAAAACATAAAATTTACCAAGCACCCAGTGGATTTGAGCCACTGGAAATACATTAGCTGATTTAATCCTTACAGGGGAGGTGTGCAGAGGCTGAGGTTGAGAGAGACTAAGGGACTTGGCTTTGGACAAACAGCAGGGAATGTGGCCTTGAACACAAGGGAGGCCTCTACTGGGTCTCCCTCCCCCAGGAACAGTTAACACAGAGCCAGCCACCAGGTGGGAATGTAAGGCATAGCCTCATGCCATCCTCTTGTTAGCCCTACTAGGCACAAGCCCTGGACCCATTTCACAGCTTCAGAAACTGAATCACAGGGCAGGATCAGCTGCCAGCAGAGGCAGGACTTTAGCACATTCCTGGCTCTCCCCCGCCTCCACTGATTGAGTACCTACTGTGTGCTAAGCACTTTATTTCTGTCCTCTTGAGACATCCCGGGAACCATGACTCACTATCCTACTTCAGGGATGAGGAAACTGAGGCTGCCCAGAGGAAGTGGCCCCCAGGAGCTCAAGGGGAAGCCAGAGGGGTTTCCCATGGAGATAAGGGGTAGGAGCCATGGAGGGGAAGGAAAGGGCTGTGGAATCCGAGGGGAGATAGAGATGCAGGGGCACACACCGAGGCAGGAAATGAAGCTCCGGCCAAAAGGCCCAGAGCAGGGAAATGGCAGCCCTTTTCAGTGGTTCTACTGGACTGGGAGTTCAGAGCCCTACAGCCAAGGCCTGGCCCTGTCACTTGGGAACTGGGAGGCCCTAGGCGAGTAGCCTTCCCTTCCTGGATCTTAGTACTTACTACCGTTAAATGGGACCAATCGCACTGAACATGGCATTCTCCCAGTTCAGCCTCTTTGCACACAGAGAAGGCACAGAGAGGGCAGAGCAGGACTCAAGGTCACCCGGCACCTTGGCGGCCTTGGCTGCCAATATCCTCTCCTGAGCCAGCCCTGCCCGGAGCAGCACCTTCAGACTCAGTGAGATCACCCAGGCAAGGGCTTGACCACAGAGCTGGCAGGGCCAGACCCAGAGAGGCCAAGTGACCTGTCCAATGCAACAGCACAAAACAGGTCCCAATTGCCGAGTACCTACCAGTGCCAGGCACCAGGCACACAGCCCTCCTTTAACCCTAATCCCACAAGGAGGTATCTATTGTCCCCATTTTCATGACAAACTAAGTCTCTCAAAAGGTATAGTGAATGGATCCGAAGACACACAGCAAGTGGGGACAGTGGAACTTGAACCCAGGTCTGTCTGACTCCTGAGCCCTTACCAAACTTTGATCCCCATCTCTTGGGCTGATCCCTCCCTGCTCCCCACCTCACTCCCAGCTTCCAGCCACCCGGCACTTCCCACACCCCTGGCTCTCATCCTTTCCAGGCCTTCCTGCTAGTGAACTCCTACTCCACTTCCAAAGCCCAGTCTCAAATATCCGCTCCTCTTGAAACCTCAAATACTCACATCAACATTTTATGGGGGATTAGATCCTCCATAAAATATGGGCATGCAGCCTGCAGATCTAGTTCTCTCATCAGATCTGTTTCTATTGATCAGCTCTGTACCTCTGGCCTCCAGCATCGGGCTGTTCACACAGGGGACACCAATCAGCCCCCTGTGTGACAATGAAGGCCAAACTCTTCCCCAGGGCCCACAAGGCCCCCACATGGTCCAGCCCTGCTGATCTACCCCCTTGTTCTGTCCTCACCCACTCCCCCCATTGTGCGAACTCTGGCCTCGGAGTTTCTCCCACTGATTCTCCATGACAGCACACGTCTTGGCACCTACCTCAGGGCCTTTGCACGTGCATGTCCTGCTGCCTGGCAAGCCCTTTCCCTAACTCCATGCCTGGCCAACCCCTACATGCCTCCTTCAAGATTCCTCTTTACCCCAGGCCTCTCTCCCTGAGCTCTTATCATATCTGTGATCATACAGTAACTCATGGCAATGTGTTTGCAACTTTGCCCACCCTTCAGATTCAAACTTCTGGGAGGCCAAGGACCTGTTCCCAGGTCCCCAGCAAGTATCCAACCAGGCTGACCACACCCCACCACCCCGGGGCCCCGGGGAAGGGAAAAAAAAGCTCTCTCTCCCCTTCTTTGTTGGGTGAACTCCTGGTTGTCCTCAGCTCAGGCCCTGCCACCTTCTGGAAGCCTCCAGGATTCCCACAGCTGCTGCTCCCTGCTAACCCCAGCACAATACTGCTCAGCCCGAGTTCCAAGCTCCAGGTACACAGCAGGTGCTTAATACAGAGTCACAAATGCTTATACATGGGAAGGTTTGAGAACATGGGGTCAGCTGAAGAACAGGGGGATGGGCGGAGTCCCTCAACAGGTCACTGAGCCATCTCCTCTCTGGTTCCTAGGGCTTGGGGGAGCCAGACATCCCTCCACCCCCACCCAACAGGCCGCAGTCAGAGAAGCAAAAGCAGGAGCCAGGCTGAGCTGTGGATAACTCATGCTCCAAGAAGAGATAGGGGACAAGGAGAGAGAGCCAGGGACCTTCTTCCTAGGAGAGGTGGGCCTAAGCCTGCTGAGGCAAGGGCAGATATGCAGCACCTGGAGGAAAGGGCACTCTAAGAGGGACACGGTTTAAGAGCAAAGGCCCAGGAGCAGGCAGGCAGTCAGCTTTGGGAGGTGACACACTGTAAATCATTTCCTCGGATGGAAATACCAGATCACCACATCACCAAAAAGTCCTCGTGGCTTTCACTCAATCCCTCGACAGAACAGTTTCTTCCAACACGGCTGTGCAAGCAGTCCTGTCTTGGGGACCTCCACTGCCCCAGCACCGAGGGATGCAAGGACAGCCAGACTGTGTCTCTGAGGTCTGGGCTTTAATTCCAGCTTCCAACTGTATGGCCTTGGCAAGTCACTTCTCTCTTAGCCTCAGTTTCCCCCATCATCAGCAAAACAAGGATAAACAAGAGTCCCTACCTCTGAAAAGGTGTTCAGTAGATGTTAGCAACTGTCATGACCGCTGGCCCACTTTTATCCTTGGCAAAACTGAGGCCAGAGGGGAAGAGTGAGTTGCTCGAGGTCACACAGCTGCTGGCAGGATCGGCCCCGGCTGTTTCTTTCTCAAGACACCAATCCATACTCTTCTAGAATGAACTAGCCAGCAACCTCGCCTCTCACCCATCTTTCTCAGCCAATGCATTCGGTGAAGACTTCATTCATTGAGCATCTACTAGAATCTTCACCTGAGGATTCTCATTTCACCTATGGGGAACTTAAGAGGGCGGTGTCTTGGCCCAGGTCACCAGGTGAGACAAGAGCCTCAGTCTTGACCCCCCAGCAAGGGGGCTGAGAAGAGGGTCAGCAACAGGCCCAGCCTGGCCCACACTGTGGCTGTGGCTGGGTCTGGACATACCCCAGGTGACCGGGCAACCACTGCCCCAAATTGTAAAGAGTCCACAAAGTTCAGGAGGCCTTGCCCAGGGGCACACACAGGCTCTGTCCACTCTTAAGTCCACCTGAAGGATGCAGGGGCCAAAAGGATACCACATAGGTGAGCCCCTTCTGTTCACCCCATCCTTCCACCAGCCCAGCAATTCCAGCCAGGCCCACCTGCCACTGATGAGGACCCCAGCTCAGAGAGGCAGGCAGTTGTCTGAGGACACACAGCAGGGCAAGTGGCAGCCCTGGTGGGGACTCATACCCACCCCCAATCCCAGCCCAGGCAGAGAGGTGGACCTGGCCCGGTGGCCAACACCCAAAACTTTTGCCAACTTCTGAGCCGGCTGGTGGCTGGGCCTACTCAGGGGCGAGGCTGGGGGCTGTGGACAGTGGAAACCCAACGCAGTCTGGCCCAGTCCCTTCCAGGCCGGCAGCACCAGGCCCTACCCAAGGCCCCACGAGGGCAGGGAGGTCCTGGCGGCTCGGCCTGGCGCCCTGACCCCGGGGCCCCTCAGCCCGCTCTGCCGATTCCCCCCACCTCCTACCCCCGGCCGGGGGTCGCAGGGCCAGGCAGCCACGGCCAGAGGCGGCGCCTACTGGCTCAGATTTCAGATTTGGCCTAGACCTGGCCCGGGGGCTAGGGCCCAGCTCGCCCGCTTCTCTGGGGGATCCTATGGGGAGCACGAGCTGGAGGGGGTCCCCACGCAGCCAGGACCCCTGCGCCCCCCCGCCCAGCCCCCTCTCCCCGCGGCATCACAACAAAAGGCCTCGCCGGGCATGGCCCCGTGGGCCCGCCCGGCGCTGGGGTATCGCGGCTCGGCCCCGGGGAGTGGGAATTGGGGGGTAGACAGGAGCCCCAGTAGGCCGACGATCCGACGCCAGGGTGGTCCGGGGCGGGGGCTCCCCGGCGCAGGCCGTGGCTGGGGGCTCGCGGAGGGGCGGGGGACGCTCACCTGGGCCGGCAGGCAGGCGGGCAGGCGGGCAGACGCACCGGCAGACGGACGCACTGGAGGGCGGACCGCGGGACCGTCAGCGGGTCGGGCAGACGGCGGCCTGGCCGCTCCGGCTCCCAGGCCGGAATGGATTCCGGGCCGGGAGAGACAGATCGAGAGAGAAAGGGAGGAGGAGGAGGAGGAGGCGGCGGCGGCCCGGGGAGGGGAAGAGGAGGGAGGGAGCGCGCGAGCCGGGAGGAGGGGCCCGGCAGGCAGCCGGGAGGAGGAGGAAGGAGGAAGCGCGCGGGGACGGATTCCCCGCCGGTGACCCAGGAGAGACCCAGGCGCGGCGCGAGCCGGGGGTCCGGGCGGGGCGGGGACGCCGGGCACAAAAGCCCCGCCCCCACTCCGCCGGGGCGCCCCACCCCGCGGGCCCCATCCGCCCCCAGGCCAAAATGCCCTCCCCAGCCCACCCACCCTTACGCCCCAGATCCACCTCTCCCGCAATCACGGTTAGTAATGATATCAGCGGGAGTGGAGCACCCGCTCTGTGCCAGGCGCCATGCTAAGCTGCTCAGGTCGACTTCAGGGTTTAAGCCTAACCACCACCTGGCCTGAGCTGAGGAAGATCATTCCCACTTTACAGATGGGGAAACTGAGGCACTGACAAGAACCAGGCCTTGGACCTTAGCCTTGACCTGAGTTTCTCAAAGTGGGGACTGGGGCAGGACGGGCAGGGTGGGGAGGAGCGACATTTATTTTAATAGATACGGGATCATTTTAAGCGCACAGGGAAAAAACGTCGCTGGCAGTCCATCGGAAGCTCCCTAGTTCCAGATAGTACTGCTTAGGAGGGGCTGACCAGGGCATCTGAGCGGCAATCACAGTTCCAAGTAAGTAAAGAGGCTAAGTACCTCTGAACCAGGGCAGCTGCTTATGGCCAGACTTCCCTGTCACCCCCATCACCCCTTGGCCCCAGCCTCCAGGGCGCTGGGCACCCCACCCTTGCCTCCTCACCTGTCCTGGAATCCTAGCACAGGGAAAAGTGGGCCTGGGTCTAGCTTTAAATACCACCCCTGCCTCCACATTTCTTCTTTGAAAGTTCTCTCCATTTCACAAATGGGAAATTAAGGCCCAGCCAGGTCAAAGGCAAACAGAAACCTTTGCCAGGGTTCTAATTTCTGGGCAAAGGTCCCTGCTGAGAGGAGCAGGGAGGAGCACGCTAGAATGTGGAAGGCAAAGGCTTCTGGGTACAACATACCTTCCAGGAGACCAAGAATGAGCAAAGCCTTACTCCACCCTGATCTCGGTTCGCATCTAGGCTAGCTGGCCCTCTGCAGCACGGTGGACAAGTCCATCAGCTTCCCAGCCCAGCCCCCTCACCTGTAAAACTGGAGTGGACATGGCCACAGAAGATTCCTGGGAAGGTTGGAACTGACCACTGTGAGGATGGTTGGGTGGTACTCAGTGAATAGCACCTCTTGCGGTGATAAGCCGAGGTCAGAGGGGAAAGGGGCGGCTGGAGATGCCACAGCAAGTCCACAGCAGAGGTCAGCCCAGCCTGGTGAAATGGCTGCACTTCCTTGCAAGGCTGGCTTAAAGATTAACCAAAGCTTCCCAGGACTCAGGCGGGCCCCTGGCTGGAGGAGCAGGTTTCCCAGCCCTCTTCCATTCCTTAGACATGTCTCAAGGCCTTTACTGGCCATACTGGGCTAAGGGGGAGGCAGAGACATTCACCCAGTGACACACTGGAGCTGGCTCTTACCAACTTGCAAGAACTGACTTTGCTCATCTCTTCCCAATTCCACATTCAATAATGTCACACTGGTAGCTCCACGTCAGCCACAGGGGAGGATTTACCCCTTGGACACTGGAATACGCTACCAGTCAAGCCTCTTTTTTCTTCCAGACCCAAGTTCAAGTCTCAACTCTGCCTCTTCGCAGATAATGTAAGCAGCCTCGATGTACCAACCTGCACAGTGGGCTAAAGACAGCACGGCCCCCAAAAGACGCACGTGAGGGTGAAATGAGGTGAAGCCCACTCAGCACGTGTGAAAGCTCATTCTCATTCAGACCCTACACACTCTTCTCAGAGAAGGGACAACTTAGACAGGTGAGGGTTCTACAAGCAGATGCAGCTCCCACCTGAAGCCACCGCTGGCTTCAAGGGCCTGGCTCAGCAGCTGAGGTTCTCAGGAGGATGTGGCCAGCACAATGGTTTCATTATTGAGCGTTTGAAGCACTCTTTATTTTTAACCACCCCTCTGGGCTTTTGCTCAGGCTGTAACCCCTGCCAGGAATGCTCAGCCCCTATCCCTGGCTACCTTGCCTTCTTCAAAGTCCAGAGTAAATGCCACCTTCTCCATGACATGCTTCCTAACATGCCCTGATGGAGGCACATGTTAAGTCCATCCCCTGTGGATATCCCCACCCTGAGGGCAGTGTCCGAGGCCTGACCCACGCCCAGCACAGAGCAGGCACTGCCAAGTTGGCCAGGGAGCACATAATGACTTGGGACCCACAGACAAGAGTTCAAGTTTCAGCTCTTCCCTTCAGTGACTATGTGAATCTGCCTTCTCTGGGCCTCAGTTTACTCATCAGCAAAACAGGGGTAACAAGCCTGGTGAGTGCCAGGATTAGGCACTTGGGAACTGTGGGTCTGGCCTGGTGCATAAGTGACTCTTTGTGCTAATTATTTTGCTTAAAACATTCTTTTTTGATAAAGCAGCAACTCATTGCTTAATTCCTGCAAATCATTCACCATTAATGGACAGCAAGCATTTATTGACTACCAACTGTATACATAGCCCCAGGCCAGTCTTAGAACACCAACAGGAAGCATTTCCCAACCCAGAACACCCAGCAGGTGACAGATGCTACTGATGTCAACAATTCTGAGATGGTGAGTGCTGGTTGTATAGTCCTCTGTCTCCAGAAAACTCTTCCCTCTTTCCCTCAACCTGGGTGGGCCAAAGCCACAACTGAGGGCAGGATGGAGGGTGTAGGGTGAGGCCGGCCCTCCACGAGTGGCAGTGGACCCAGAGGCTGGCGCTGTCCCATGACAAGGGATCAGAGGTGCTGCCCACACTTCACCCAGTGCCCTGATGGCTCTGGCTCAGTAGTGGCTGATCTGCCATGCCCAGCCCCAGGCCAGCTCACCCTTGCTGCAGTAGCCAGGAACCTGGGCCCATCACAGGCCCTCAGTGGGAAATTCCAGACCAGCTCTGCCATTTTCTACACATGGGCTGTGAGTAGTCTAGTTGAAGCCACTGGGCTCAGGGCTACAGGATAGGGTGGACTGGTGGGTGGGCTCTAACCTGAGGCTGTGGAATGGCCTTGGTACCTCCCCTGGCACTGCCCTTCACAGTTTACACAGAGATGTCCTGCTGTGCAGGCCCTGGTCCCCTCCCCTCCTCTACCTGCCTCCTGCTGTCTCTGTCCTGAGGCCTAGAAAGTTCCCCACCCCCAGCCCTCAGCTGGGCTGCACTCGTCCTTCCTCTTGCAGTGGTCATTTATAGCATCTACTATGTGCTAGGGTCTGTGCTATGCGCTGGAAAACAGCAGTGAAAAAAACCAAAGCTGGTCTCTGGTCTCTGACTTAGAGGAGTCAGGGGCTGCAGGGGCCCTATACCCCAGAGTGGGGCCCCCAACCCAGCATGGGTGTTGAGGGCAGAGTTGTCTATGGAGAGTTTAAAAGCCTGGGGAGATGGCTGCCAGGTGAAAGTGGGACAGGGAAGCAGGGCATTGGGAGGCTGAAGCAGGTGGATCACTTGAGCCCAGGCATTCAAGACCAGCCTGGGCAACATAGTGAGGCCCTGTTGCTACAAAAAATAAAAATAAAAAATTAGCCAGATGTGGACCTATGGTCCCAGGTACTTGGAAGGCTGAGGTGGGAGGATCTCTTGAACCCAGGAGATCGAGGCTGCAGTGAGCCATGGTCGAACCACTGCACTCCAGCCTGGGTGACAGAACAAGACCCTGTCTCAAAAAAATAATTATAATCATAATAACAAACAGGACGGGGCAGGTGTGCAGGTGGAGGGACAGTGTGAATGAAGGCCAAGATGGGGACTGCAGGTGGGGTATGAGAAGCACAGCATGGCAGTTGGGCTGGCGAGGGGGAACTGAGGTGGGAAGGGTAGCAGGGGAACCTGAGGATCCCCGAGTGCCAGGCGTGGCTTCTGTCCTAGAGGCAGTGGGAGCCAAGGAGGGTGGTGAGCAGAGCAGGGTCTGGGGAGACATGGAGAGGAGTAAAAGACAGGGAGGGGGCAGTCAGGAGGCTTCTGTGCTGAGGAGCAGCGGGGACCCAGCAGGGGAAGAAGGCCTGGCTCACACAGGAGCGTGTGCAACGTGTGCATGGGTATATGTCTATATTCCAGGAAGTGAGGCCAAACTAGCCGAAGGTCAGAAACCCAAAACACTAGAGCAGCATCCCCAGCCACATGGGAGTCAGGAGCCAGGAGCAGGCGAGCATGTTCTCCCCAAAAACATGGATGTCAAAGGCAGAAAAGAAAAATCTGAAAAACTATCATAGCAAGAGGAGACAAGATTCTGTGGCAGAAAAAAAGACATTAGGAAAAATGTAGGAAGTCTGACTAAAGCTGGACTTTAGTTAATAATAAAGTATCAGGCCGGGCACAGTGGCTCATACCTGAAATCACAGCATCGAGGCTGAGGTGGGAGTATCACTTGAGTCTAAGTTCAAGATTAGCCTGGGCAACACAGTAAGACCCCCATCTGTACAAAAAGAAAAACAAACAAGAGGGCGGGTGTGGTGGCTCACACCTGTAATCCCAGCATTTTGGGAGTCCAAGATGGGCAGATCACCTTTCGAGACCAGCCTGACCAACATGGAGAAACCCCATCTCTACTAAAAATACAAAATTAGCTGGGTGTGGTGGCGCATGCCTGTAATTCCAGCTACTCAGGAGGCTGAGGCAGGAGAATCACTTCAACCCAGGAGGTGGAGGTTGCTGTGAGCTGAGATCGCACCATTATACTCCAGCCTGGGCAACAAGAGTGAAACTCCGTCTCAAAACAAACAAACAAACAAAAATTAGCTAGGTGTGGTGGTGTGCACCTGTAATCCCAGCTACTTGGGAGACTGAGGCAGGAGGATCACTTGAGCCCAGGAGGTCAAGGCTGCAGTGAGCCGTGATTGTGCCACAGCACTCCAGCCTGGCTGACAGAGTGAGACTCTGCCTCTAAAATGATTTAAAATAATAATAATGTATTAATATCGTATTGGTTCTTTTCTTTTTCTTTTTTTTTTTTTTTTTGAGACGGAATTTTGCTCTTGTTACCCAGGCTGGAGTGCAATGGCACGATCTCAGCTCACCGCAACCTCTGCCTCCTGGGTTCAGGCAATTCTCCTGCCTCAGCCTCCCGAGTAGCTGGGACTACAGGCACGCG